AGCTCTTCACACGCTACCTGTCTGAATGCAAGGTTCCGTCCCAGTGGAAAACCAGCAGGACTGTACTACTGTGCAAGAAGGGAGACATCCACAACATTGGCAACTATTGCCCGATCTGCCTATTGTCTGTCATCTACAAGCTGTTCATTCGACTTATCCTGAATAGGATTGGCAGAACACTAGATGAAGGACAACCATGCGAGCAAGCCGGGTTCTGCAAAGGATTCAGCACCATGGACCATAGCCACACAATAACCAAGCTCATTGAGGTTTCTCGGGAGTTCAAGATGCCGCTCCGTCTAAAGTTTATTGATTTAAAGAAGGCCTTTGATTCTATCGAGACAGAAGCAGTCATTGAAGCCCTCGCCAATCAGGGCATTCAAGCCCAATAATTCATCAAGATCCTCCGTGAGCTGTATTGCGGATTCACTACCAGGATCTCACCATTCTACAAAGAAGTGATCGTTGATGTCAAGAGAGGGGTTCGGCAGGTTGATACCATTTCACCGAAACTCCTCAGTGCCACCCTCGAGAACATCATGAGACGACTGGAATGGGAAGGAATGGGAGTGAAGATAGATGGTCGGCAACTACACCACCTCTGCTTTGCTGATGACATTGTTTTAATAACACCAAACATCAGCCAAGCGGCACAAATGCTGGCCGACTTTGACCGTGATTGTGGAAATGTAGGACTACAGCTGAATCTTACGAAGACAATGTTTATGAAAAACAGCCTCATTCCTGATGCTCCATTCACTCTCAATGGAACGACTATCTCTGAATGCAACAGCTATGTGTACCTAGGTTGAGAAGCCAACATGACAAATGACCTGGCACCTGAGCTAGGAGGAAGAGAGTGGCTTGGAACGCCTTCAAGAGCGTTGTAGAAATAGCTACGAGGACGAAGAACCTCTGGCTCCGGGCACATCTCTTTGATTCCACTGTTCTTCCTGCATTAACATATGCCTCAGAGACCTGGGCCCTATGCAAACAGGATTAGAACTGTATTCTGGTCTCCCAAAGAGGAATTGAAAGAGCCATGTTTGGAGTATCACGTTTCACTCAAATGAGAGAAAGAATCCGGAGTTCCGACCTCCATTGACGATCAAGAATCAGGGACGCTGTCTCGTTTATCAAGGTGTCTAAAATCAGATGGGCTGGACACGTCATGAGATTTAGAGATGACCGCTGGACTAGAGCCGTTACCAACTGGATTCCACGGGACAACAAAAGGCCGGGTGGCCTCCCACCTACCACATGGTCAGACTTCTTCATCAAGATCCTAAACAATCAGTTTGAGACTTCTCATGTTCCTAGAACGAACAGACGCCATTGGGCTACACTAGCACGTGACAGGGACAAATGGAGACGTTACTGGCGCCCGCTTGAGCTAATCGACTATTAACGGGAAATCAAGTGATCAAGAGATCAGGTAAGGGGCAGGACTGTCAGGGTGGGGGTCCCCCCAGTCTGGTGCCTTGGGTGAGGATTCTGGGGCCCTGCTGCGTCGTCAGCCCCCTGCAGAAGCAGAGCCTGCATTTCTGCCCCATCTCAGGCTGCCCTTGGGCCTTGACATGTCCAGATGCCCAGACCTGATCGCCTACCTGCTTCGAGATAGTGAACGGAAGCAGAGGTGCAGGGTGCCCTGGCAGAGCACCTTCTTAGGGTCCTCCGGGATATAAATCAGGTGAGAAGAGCAGCACCCACCACCCCACCCCGCCATCACGGCAGCTGCCCCAACCTCTCCTGCTCCACAGGCAAGCAACCACTCGCAGCCCCCTGAGGAGGAGCCCATCGCCCTGGAACAGCTGGAGGCCTCCTACAGGACCAATTATGGCCACTTAACTCTGCCCTGTTTCCACCACCTGTCAGTGACCCTGCGGCCTGCTCCTCCTGATCAGCCTGTGTCTGCTCTGATGTGCAGGGCTTCCCTCACCGCTCACCAGGGGCTCACCATAGACCCACAATCCAGACCCTCTCAAGTCTGAAGCAGTGTGTGGTCAGCCTGGCCCTGGAGAGGCCCCCAAGACCCAGCGGGCAGCCGGGACTAACACCAGACATAAGCACACCTGGCACTGCACCGCAGGCAGGAGCCCAACTCTTGAGGAGAGCCTTCCTGGGAACAGGGAGCAGGGTCTTCACACACAAGTCCTGCTCCACCTGCCTCTTTCAACATGCACATATATTCAAGCTCTCAGCTATTCACACATGCACACACAATACTCAACACATGCACACCTGTATCCATGCATACAGTGCATGTACCCTGTACCCCCACACATACTTTCTACACACATATATTAACATGCACATGATTCCACATATTCATGCACTCCTCCCTGTCTTCCTTCACGTGTGTATTCAGAGCACATTACATGGACACATGTTCACAGCATAGCTGCACACGTGCACTCACACTAGTGCACATACATATGGACCCACTCACACATCTCCACATGCATACCTTACATATGCATGCATAAACACACACACACACATGCCGTCTCACACTGATTCCTTACATGAGCAGAGCCACACAGGGATGGAGAAGGACTCGGCTCACACTGGGTGAGCCTAGCCCTCCTGAGGGCTGGGATCATCATGATCCCCTCAAGGATAGTCGCCTTGGGATTTCTGTTCTCTTGGTTTTGGGGCCACAACCAGCAGTGCTCAGGGGTTACTTTTGACTCTGCACTCAGGATTTAATTCCTGGTAGTGCTTGGGGTAACATAGGTCAGATCACAGATCACAGATCATCCTGTTATTCGTCGATTGCCTCGAGCAGGCCCCAGTAACGTCTCCTTCATCCTAGCCCTGAGATTATATTCAAGGCTCTTTAGGAGAATGAGACCCATCATTGTTACTGGTATTTGGCATATTGGGTACGACACAGGGAGTTTGCCAGACTCTGCCCTGTGGGCAGGCTACATTCCGTAGCCTGCCAGTTTGTCAAAGTGGGAATGAAATGTCATAATAAGATGTCTCGGCCGCGTGGTTCCGGGATCTGGTTTTTATAGTCTCTGAGTCTTGGCCGCTGATGGGATTACACGGCGCCAGGGGGCCAGTTGGTGGGTGTGACCACCGCCTACTGGAATTTGGAGGATCTGGGTGGAGGATGCTCGACTCCAATTCGAGTAGGCTTGGAGATCTCGGCCCCGGAACCCACGTGGCTTTGTCCCTCTGCCGGTACCTTCAGGTGTGCGGAGAGTGGTCTCAGCATGGTGGTGTCTGGTCCTGGAAGTCGTACAGGGGTGGGTCCCGGCATGGACACACACAGGTCCTATGGGTCAGATCCTGGTGTGTACACAAATAGGTCCTCCAGGTGTGGGTCCTGGCGTGTACACACATGCACACACACACACACACGTCATACTGTGCGGGTCCTGTTATGGGCAGAGCTGTGAGTGTGGGAGCAGATGTGCCAGGGTGACCCAGCAGCGCTGCCCACTGGCAGGGTGCAGGAAGGGTCGTCAGGTGTGTGGCCTGGAACAGGCCTGGGAGTACACAGGAGCACACAGTGGCAGTGCTGCCACCAGACCCCAGCCCGTGACACGAAGGCAGGGAGCACTGCCCAGAGGGTCACAGTCCCAGGGACAGGAGCTGTGGCACTGAACTTGGAATCCCATTTTCATGCCCCTGTGATTGAGATTCTGCCTTGAGGGTGGAGACCTTCACACCCCCAGACACACCGACACCCCAGCCGCCAAGACACCAAAGCAAAGGCGGGCAGGTCTCAGGAACGATCCATTTATTCACAACAGTATTTCAGGACTAGGGGCAGCAGAGCCTCCAGCCATACCACCCCTACTTGAGCCCGGGGCTTCAGGACGCTAAGCCCACTGGAGGCTGCCCCCGTCCACATGACACAATCCAGTGCCCCACGGCTGTGCCCGATGTTCACGGGAGCAGACAGGGAAGTCACAGCCTCTCACAGGGGTCTCACTGACAGAGGGGTCAGCTGGGTGTGTGGCAGGCTCTGGTCTGGCCTGTCCCACTGGTCTGAGCACCTTGAGTTGAGCAGGTACTCAGACTGGGACCCTGCCTGGTGCAGGCTTCTTCAATTGTGGCAAAAGTAAAACCCAAAGAGAAACCATAAAAACAGTGAGAGGACTGACTGTAAACATCAGGGACTGGGTGAGGGGGAAGCTTACTCTGTACCAGGCGGATGTCTCGGGATGGTCACTGGGCCCTAGCAACTCTGGCGGTCACGGTCAGGGGACGTCCCCTCTCTACAGCGACAGGACCTCACTGAGGACTGGGTGCCCGAAAGGCAGTGCAGGTGGAGGCCCGTGCTAGAAGCAAGGGGGGTTTTGCAGGCTCTGTTGGATGTAGGCACGTAGGTCCGGAGGTGGCTAACTGCCCAGACCCACCGGGCCCTCCCACTCTGTCCTTGGGTGGCAGCCCCAGACCGCTGAGGGGAGGCCTATGGGGACATGGTAAGCGGTGGTCCTAGCCCCCGGGGAAGCAAACTGCACACACACGATCTACAGGAGTCCGCTGACCAGCTCCTATTCATGCCTGAGGATCAGGGGACAGGGTTCTGTGCGTCCGCAGCTGGCCGGCCCAGAGACATGGGAATTACCCAGAGACATCAGAAGTTTGTGTAGTCGCGGGGATAGGTGCCCACTGCAGGCACTGGGCAGGGTTCCAGGCTGGCAGGTGGGCGGAGAGCAGAGAGGCCACGGTCAGCAGGAAGGCAGGGGCGGCCATCCCTCTCCCCTTCAGGTGGACAGTGGCCTAGTTCTTCAGGGAGGCCAGCCTGCAGTGTACCACAGAGTCCCTCAGGGGAAGGCTGAACCGAGGCCCTAGCCACGTGCTGGCCGGGACTGAAACAGCCACTCTCCCCCGCCCCTCATGGCAGAGGTGCAGGTGGATGGACAGCCAAGCTCAGTGAGTCTTCCATCGCCTGTGCAAGCATAGGCAGGCTGAGCAGCTGTTCCCAGGCCTCGGGGGTCTCTGGGCCCCACCCTTCCCCTCGAGGTGTGCACTGAACATACCAAAATGTGCACATCCAGGTTCTGCACCAGCTGTTCAAACCTGTCCATCACTGCAGAGATATTTTGCAGGTTCTTGGTACTCACGGCCATCTTCGGGTCTTTGTTCATTCGTTGCATATTCTTGGACACCTGCAAAGCACCTGAGTGATGCCAACAGGCTGGGCTTTCCCCAGGCAGAGCCAAACTTCACAAATGGGGAAGCTGTCCCTGGCAAGGTCTCGGTCCTGAACCAGCAGGAACACAACACTCCAGCCTAAGGGTCCCACTGACTCTGCAACGCACACTCACGCTGTTCGTGATCACGCCTGTTTGCACTTCGGAGACCACAGCGTCCGCCTGAGATGCCAAGCGGAGCCAGTACAACCGTTCATTCTTCCTGTGGATGGCATTCTCGGCATACAGTCGCGCACACATTCCAGGTTCTTCTTATGCAGTTCCAGGGACAGGGTGTGGGGAGGGCAGTCGAGAGTGCGGTTAAGGTCCTGGTCGGGTGAGACCTGGATTTTCCTGGGTGCTGTCTTCTAGTGAGAGCCCAGCTGCACTCCCACTAACTCCAGATTTACAAACACGGCCAGCCCCAGGTCTGCACCCAGAGCCCAGGCCACAGAGGGATCAGACAGGAAATCTAGGTGGGCTCAAATACAGCATCGCGCCTCAGGTTCTGGGTTTTGTCTGTTTTGCTTTCTGGGCCATACCAGGCAGTGCTCAGAGAGGACCCTTGGTGGGGCTTGGGAGACCATATCAGCCCCGAAATGCTGGAAGGCAAGTGCCTGCTCCTGTTCCATCTCTGTCTGGAGCTCCTGAGCAGTCCTGTCACTCCACGGAGCCACACCTGGAACCCAGTGGATGAGCTCTACCCATCGCATTTGAAGATGACACAGGGTCACACTGGAGCCCCCTGGTCCGTGGCATCCCCTCTTGGAGCTGAGGCATCAGCCAGTTGACCACAGCCCTTAACATCCATCTCTGGCCTCCACACAGACGGGACCCTCAGACACTGGTGAAGGGAGGAAAGGGATGGAGGGCTTAGTGGGCATCCCGCCGGCACAGAACAAAGAAACACAGGACGGGAGCTTAGCCCTGGAGAGCCTTAGAAGGTCCAGCACATGAGCAGGGTCAGTGTCCCAGAGCCACGGCCCCAGGGAGTGTGGGATACCCATTCAGGGCCTGTCCTAACAGCAGCCACAGCCCAGGGCAGGGCGAGGCAGCAGCTCATCTGCCTCACTTTTTAAGCCATGAAGTCCTTCTTCGCTTACTTGGCCTCTTCTACAGCCGCTCCATGATGAACTGAGAAGAGGCAGCCGATGAGGCGTGCAGAGCCACCCGCCCTGCCTCCCCAGCCAAGCAGATGTGGTGGCGCTGTCAGGGCCAAGCAGCTGGCCAAGAAGGGTTTTCTATTGTGTCTGTCCTTTCCCAGACACCTGCCCAGAACCCTCCCATGGGAAAAGGCCACCTAGTGACCACGGGGCTGCTGGTGAGACACCTAGAGGGGATCTGCACTGGGAATGGGGTCCCAGGGGCGCTTGGATACCTGTTCCCTCTGCACCAGCTGCCCCCAAAAGTAGAAGGAGCACTCCAGGGCAACCGCCCCCCCCCCAACACACACACACACCAGAGAGGGGCACCGAGCAGCCAATAAGTTGTTCTTTGATTTTAATCTTTGCGTTTTAGTTTTTGGATCACACCCGGCTGCACTCAGAGATTCCTCCTGGCAGGCTCGGGGGACCCTATGGGGTGCTGGGAATCAAACCTGGGTTGCCCACCTGCAAAGTAAAGTACCTGCTGGATTATCACTGTAATCTTTTAGGGGTCTCTCTGGCAGGAACCCCTGGCCAGCACTGCAGGCCTGACAGGCCCCTTGGCACAGAAGGGGCATGGCTAGTACCAGGCTGTCCCTTTCAGTGACACTAATGTTCTCCCCACAATGTTAACCAATATCACAGACTTAGAGAGCTGGAGAGTTCCGGCGAATGCAGCGCTGTGGATTTCTCAGGCAAGGAGTGCAGGGGTCATCTTGGGGACAGATCAGGGAACGCTCCCAGCTGTCACGGAGGCCTGAAGGACCATGAGAGTAGGGAGCTCACTCTCCCTCTGGATGGGTGATTGCAGCTCGAGTGCTCGCATGTCCCATTTATTGGGTCCCGCAGACTGTGGCTCAAGACACGTGGGATATAAGGGCCATCTCCACGCAAACGTGGCGGGCAGAGCCCAACGCCATCCGACGCTTTTGCAGGGGGCCAGTCTGCATGGCCTTGTGGCCTCTCCTGTCTGTGGCGAACAACTGCCTGAGGCAGAGAGACTCCAGGCTGGGCCTCAGGGACCTGGGCCACCAGGGGCTGCCGCAGACCCGGCTGCCTCCATGTGTGGTGCTGGGCCTGGGCAGTGTGCCAAGCTGTGTGGCTCTGCTCAGCAACAGGTGGGGGGGGGGGGGGTGGCTGCATGTGGCACCCTAGAGGGGCGTGTCAGACACAGGTGACAGGTGGGTGGCTCAGAGAGAAGCAAGTTTGCTCTGCATGTGGAGGGCTCAGGGTGGAGCCCTGGCACTGCATGGTGCTTGCCACGCCTGAGCACTGAGTCACCAGCTGCCCCTGAGGCTCGGCTAGGTGTGGCTCTCGCCAAATGACGGTGCCACTCAGGGACAGTAAATCCTCCTCTGATCCTCCCGCGGGGTTTGAGAAGCTGACTTTAAGGAAATCCTGTGGGTTCCTGTTTGTGTGGAGATCGGCGAGAGCGAAGGGAGGGCTTCTGTTGGTCCTGGCCGGTCCTGGGTCCTCAAATGGTCTTTTCTGATCACGTTCTGCATGGAGGGTTCTCTCAGTATGTGGCTTCTACTTTGGGGACAGGCCAGTCTCCTTTGGGCATCCCCCCCCCCCACTGAACCTCCCATGGCTCGCTCTCTCACCGACTCCAAAGTGTAGCCCGGGGTCATCCCAGAGGGGTCCTGCACTCCTCATCTCTCCGCCCAACTGGGGCACACTCAGTTTTCCTGAAGAGCTGTGCCACCGCTGCGGACTGATTTCGGGTCTCGCTTCCTTTGTGAATTTGTGGGTTATATTCCCAGCACTTATATGACTCCTGGATTCGTGCTCAGGGATCAGTGCTGGCTACCTTGACACCACATGGTATGGGGTGCCAGGAATCAAACCTGGGTCAACTATGTGCAAAGCAAACGCTCTACCTGCTGGATGACCTCTCCAGACCTTATCAGCCGTGTTTCACAGAATGTTGCTCTCCGGAGTCTGCTCCCATCGTCAGCACAATAGGCTCAAATGTATTGATCTATCACTGTATCACAGTCCTCCCGTTGTTCATCGATTTGCTCGAGCGGGCCCAGTAACGTCTCCATCATGAGATTTGTTGTAACTGTGTTTGGCATATCAAATTCATCACGGGTAGCTTGCCAGGCTTTGCCGTGCGGGCGAGATACTCTCGGTAGCTTGCTGGGCTCCCCAAGAGGGGTGGAGGAATCGAACTCGGGTCGGCCATGTTGGCTGCATGCAAGGCAAACGCCCTACCACTGTGCTATCGTACACAAAAATCTGACTGATCAGAGATGCAGCTCAGCATGAGAGAGAGCCGATGGGACACAATGTATGTTCCAATGTCTGGAGCAGAAAGTCCGTGAGCTCTGTCCAGTCTCCTCCAAGCACGGGCGGGACCGTCCCTGCCCTGCCCTAGCCTTCTGGACAGAGGGTGGCAAGGAAGGAGGCGGCAGCAGGGAGCTCCCAGAAACCTAGAATACTTCTAGACAAGGAGGGAGGGAAGGAGGGAGGGAGGGAAGGAGAAGGGAGTGGCTGGGAATCCCTGCACCACAGGGTCCGAGCAGCACCTCCGTGAGCCGCGCACTGAGCCTCAGGTCCTAGGCACGTGGGGGAGGGCCCTCAGAACAGTAGTCACTTCTACCTGATGCAAGTGGTATGAAGTACGAGACTATTTCACAAGTTTTTTTTCTTTGAGCCACACCCGGCAGCGGTCAGGGTTACTCCCAGCTCCGTGCTCAGGAATTACTCCTGGACAGCTCAGGATCCACCTGGGGTACCAAGGATAGAACCCAGGGCAGTAGTGTGCAAGGCAAGTACCCAACCTGCTGACTATCTCCTCAGCCTGTGTGTAACAATATTTTCATACCCAAACATGAACATGGAAAGAGAAGACTAGTAGGTGGCCCAAATCACTCAGTCACGGAGCCAAGTCCTCATGATGCAAACACAGACCCACAAGACCCTCCACAGCCATCAGCGCACCAAAGTCAATCAACCAATTCTAACATCAGACACCTAGCTCACAGGAAATGCCAGTGTTCCCAGAACAGATTTTCTTTTTGACACCAAACACTCAGCTTGGGGGTCACGTCTGGTGATGTTTAGGGAATCAGGTGATGCCAGGAACTGAACCCAGGGCCCCATACATGCAAGGCAAGTGCTTTATCACTGAGCCACATCCCCAGTTCCCCAAGAATATTTTGAAATTGAGAGCTAGTTTGCTTGAAGCTGAGAGCGAGAAATAGAGAGAGATAGTGAGAGAGAAAGAGAGAGACAGAGACAGAGACAGGAGAGACAGAGAGAGATAGAGACAGAGACAAAAGTCAGAGAGAACAGCAGGTAAGGAAGGCACTGGCCTGGCATACAACTCAACCTGATCTGACTGTGACATCACATCTGTTCCTCCACCCAAACACCACTGAGGGTGGAAGGGGTCGATGCTGAGCACTGCCCAGCATGGGCAAAAAAGGAGTTCTGGTGGCTGCAAAGAGGACAGAGAAGGGAGGCCGCAGGAAATTGAGGGAGGGTTGAGTGACTGTCTGGTGTTTGAGTGGTAAATTAGCACGTTAAGTAGGAAATAATACAGAAATGGTTGTAAATCATATTCTCTCAGTAAAATCAGAGCACTCCTGAGCCAGGGATAGTGCTAGATCCAACAACAGAAGTTTTTTTTTTTTTTTATAAAGTCCATGGAGGGAGAGGGGGAGAAAGAAGAGGGGGAAAGGGAGTGAGGGAGGGAAAGAGGACAGAAAGAGAGGGTGGGGGGACAGCAAGTAGGGCACTTGCCTCGTACACAGCTGAATGGTTCAATCCCTTACAAACCCTATGACCCCCGAACCTCACCAGGACTGGGTACTAGATGGTAGGGAATTAGTGTTCATCAGAAATCAGTCGAAGAACAACCACAATACAGAAGCCTGTACGAGGCTGCTAGGCTAAAGTTCCCATGATCCTGTACTTTGTTTTTATTTGTTTATTATTTGCTTTTGTTGTTACTGTGTTTGGCATATCGAATACTCTCGGTAGCTTGCCGGGCGGGCTCTCCGAGAGGGGCGGAGGAATCGAACTCGGGTCGGCCATGTTGGCCGCTTGTAAGGCCAACGCCCTACCCGCTGTGCTATCGCTCCAGCCCTTTTTGCTTTATTTTTTGCT